AAACACACCCAATCAAGCTAATGGGTCTATAATCCTTTAATTCCATAGAATTGAACTTCTTAGGAATTAGAGCTAAGAAAGATGAATTCAGCCCATTAACTAATCTACCATTCTTGTGAAACTCTGCAAAGAAACTCATAAAATCTTCCTTTAAACTATCCCAAGCAAACTTAAAATTGTTACAAACTACGTATTTGATAAAAATTTTATTTAGCAATATGGGACTAACAAATAATAGTTAGGATTCAAACCACAAGTAATTTGAAAAAGTTATTTTAGATAACTTTTTGTACTAAACAGCTAATGCATTAGATTTTTTTTAATTTTATTAACAAATTTATTTTTTTTAATTTTTTAATTTTTACTATGGTTTTTAATTAGTATTGAAGGATTAAAAATATATATATTTAAACAAATTTAATGAACTAATTAATGAAAGGATTAAAAATCTAGAAACCAGCCAAACCAGCCTCTACCCCACCCTACCCATCAGTGCAAAGAACCCAAGTTAGAATGATAAAAAGGAAGGATTGAAGGTGAGAGTTAGACACTGGGAGGATGGTCAAGACTTATAATATGGTTAGGTGGACCAAAACGATACTGATCCAATCTGATGCCAATATGCTACCTTGTTTATCCATACATATTCTTTTTTTTTTTATTAATTTTAATATCATAAATTTTCTTCAATTAGTTCAATATTCATGTATTTCTTCATTGTAATTTTGTTTAATGAATAATCTTCCTCTATTTGTGGGTAACAGTATGAGTGCCTTGTGGAAGGCTGTGGTTTGAAGTTCAAGAGCTACAAAAGTCGGCAGCAACATCTGGTGGACAAGCACAAATTGCCCACTTCGTTTTGAGTTCTTCAAGAAGGCTCGGCCAACCAAGAAACAGAGGCAGAAGCAACATCGCAAACAAGCTCTTCACAGTAAGGGTGAACCTTCGAGTATGATGGAAGTTGAAGATGAAACCATCAATGGGCTTGTTTCAGCAGTCTCTAAGCTAAGCACATCTGACTCCCCCCCATCAACTGTCAGCTTTGGTCGTCGCCATAGCCGTGGCTTCATATTTGTCCCACGAGCCATACAGTGTGAGAAAAGGCCAGACTCCACAGCAGCAGAGACAGAGAGATAGCCAGCATCCACCTGGACTAAATCTGGGGAAGTTTCGTATGGTGATGTGAATTAGAAGAAACAAGCTGACAGCTTATATTGGTTCAAAACCCACACCTATTTTAGGTAGTCAAATTTGTTGAGAGCAAAGCTTCGATGTCTCTTTGGTATTGATACCCGAAGATCATTTATCTATATCAGTATTACATTCTGAATTTCATAATGCATGTGGAGTTTCATTTTCTTTTCCTGATCAACTCATGGTAATTTGATTTTAAAAAATGGCTTCTGAAAGTTGGGGGTGGTAATGTCTTTGAGGGAGGGCGAGATTAGCTGTCTAAAAAGTCCAATAGGTTTTTTCTTTCTCTTTTCTTTTTCTTTTTTTTTTTTAACCACCTGTTCTTGGGAGGGGGAAATGCTAACCCCGGGACTCGGAACTCCTGCCCTTACCAGGGGGCAGGGGGTGATCTCCACTAAGGGGAGTGTTTAATCTACATTTCGTCCACAGAACACTAGCCCTGAATAGATAAAGACACAAGGAATGAGGGATTCTGGTTCGTAACCTACAGAAAATGTGTTGAATAATAACATGGTGCTTTGAATCCCAGAAAACCAAGTTCAAATAAGAAAGGTAGAAATTGCAACACCTTGACTTCAATCAACACTCCTAACAAATCCTTCACAGAGGAATGATACCCCTGGACTAGAGATAAGATAGCAAAGAACAAAAACCCTGACGAGAAAATGTGTTCATGGTATCTCAAGAAACTCAGGAGTAGAGCATGCTCGTTCCTACCTTCTGGCAAAATCTTATCATATAACTCGATACGAATCGTTTCGACTATCCTAAGATTCGCAATCGCAAGATTGGAAAAAAAAAAGATCGGAAGGGGAAGCATAACAACCTTTGAGGTCGGGCTTGTGGCACCTCTTGACGAGGCGAACGCTGTTCTTGGCGAAATCCCTCAAAGGATCGAAGACAGAATCTATGGCGTCCATTTTCCCTTCCTTTCTTTCCTCTGCTTATTGTTCAATGAAGAATGAGAATTCGCCGATCCGATCTGATTCACACAAAGATGAATGTCGTCTCTGACGTGAATGCTTATATGTTCTACTATGCTACGCGGACGCGGTTGTTGTTGATATTTCTTCATGCTTGACGTGAATGCCCCTCCTCGATCTTTGTTTTGTACACTTTTAACCTTTGACCCAGTCTTCCACACACACGGTGTCGTTTCTGTTGATTTTTTTGTCACCAGAAAAATTACCAAACCAATCCCCAAACCAGTGGTTTAGAAACCCTAACCACACACACGGTTTCATTATGTTATAATTAGTTTATGTCTCTGTTTGTCTCCTCATCTTAATTAGAGGTGTAATTTACTTGTTTTAGTTTATGAGGTAAATTAAGATCTATATATATTTTTCTTTTCTCATGTTGTTCAAAAATTATTAAAAAAAAACAATATTTAAGTATAAATTAAGCATCCCATAAATTAATCTCTAATGCTGATTGAAATACCGAAATTTATGTTCGTTACCCTTAGAGATCCATACATACATTTTTTTTTTTTTGCACAGCTAAATGTTCTTTATTTAATGGAGTATACTCCTATCTATAAGACATTACACACACATTAATCAAACATAAAAGACTTCTCCCCAGTCCACATATCAACAAAAATAGTGTTTCCTTCTGACAGACCACTCTCATGCTGGGGAGAATTAGAATTAGGGAATGGATGCCAACAAATTCTCATCATCAAACTTAAAAACCCATTTTCTTACTA